TGTGAGGGGTGAGGCGCTTGCCTCGGGATTTTGATGTGCAAACGTTCCTAATTTTCGTAATACAGAGACTACTTGACGCAGTCTGCTTATGAGAAGATGAGTAGACCTCAACAAGCCAGTTTAGTACAAGCTGTCACAACTACTACTACAGACGCCGAGCCGGTACGCCCCATTTTATTTGAAGGTTTATAAACTTGCCGAAACTCACCGGAGACAAAGGGGTTATTAAAAATTCATTCCTGCTATTTTCTTACAGTTTTCGTGAGTTTTTCGCTGCACAATAGCTTTGTTAAAATGTAGCAGTTCACCTATTACCGCGTGAGGAACGCGTCATACACAATATACACTCCTGTGCTATCGGTGAATAAAAATTTTGGCAAAGTTGACTGACGTCAGGGTGCTCCATTGGCCCTGCCCAGATCGCCCGACAGGACGTAAAAATAAACATTTGGCACGCCGCCATCGGTGACAGGACCCGCGGTAGACTTGGAGATCTCGCACCAATTTTTTCTGCTCCGCGCTACGCAGGACACGCGGATGTCTCGCGGGATTTATCGGGACGCCTATCCCGAAAAATTCCGTATCCCGATGATGCATATCCCGTGAAAGTTATCTCTCTAAACATAATAAGGATAATTGCCCATAGGAATTTGACAGAAGAAATAGTGTTTGGGCTTCAATGTATATGAAGAAATATGTGAACGTCTGGTTTCACTAAATTTGTAACGCGAGTCTTCTTATGCTTGCGTTGTAATTCTTTCATTGCATACAGATAACAGTGAATTAATTAATTCTCTGTGTTAACAAATTGGTCTGCTGTAAAATTTTGATATATATCATACACCCCCTTTGACATATATTATATACCCTCTTGGACCCCGCCTGATATAGTTAGACGTTTGTATACATAATTATGTATTATGCTTTCCTTTTGTGGTTCAATGACTTAGACATATATCATATCAGTTTCTGATCACATTTGAAATGCTTACTCTCCTGTTTGTATCCTCTTTTCTTAAGACTCTTCAGATTGGACCTCTGCTAGGAAAGGAAGCAGAACTTGGTCCATGAGAAACTGGGGAGGAACCTAACAGAGCTGAACCCAGCCATCCACAGAAGGATACAACACATCACAACCATTTCTAGAAACACATTATATCTCCAATTTGGCCAGTAAATAT